GAGTCACATGACAAACGAGTAATCATACAGTATCTTAATACGACAATTCCGAAACCAATAATGTGATGTGAATAGCAAGTCATGTGTAGAGAGTATATGTAGCACATTCTTCACATTCTTTTTCTTTTTTCGGATGCCTGATATAAGACAATGATGTCATACCATACACTACAATGGAGTTTAGGCACCAATAGTACATTGTACCAGGCCGACAGCTATTACTCCATACATATGTAGATATTTTGAATCACCACACAATATTCAGGTACCATTGGGCATGGTGATATTGCAAGAAACCAAAAACTTACAGGATTGAAGATTCTTGCGGAGCCTAGATGAACAGTGGTATGTAGTTAGCATGTACGAACTTCATCATATCTTCTTTGCTTTGGTCAGTATTCGAGAACTAAGATCCTCGAATAGATGCGACTATCATCAATACTTACCCACCGCCTTACAAAGGGTGACAGGCATTAGTAACAGGTATTTTCTCCACTGACCTTGGCATCGATTGTCATGTGGTATCTCCACCAGATCATGATCAGTGACAGAGATAATAATACGGAGTACATACCCCAATCAAGTACAGTACGGAGTACTCCGTAGATAGACTACCATATCGGGCCATTATCATGTGATGAACACTCTGGAGTAGTACTTACTACCAATCTGTGTCCCGCCCCTCATTCAATTGGAAGTGAAGCGCAAATCTAGCAATTTAGAAAAATAACAGAGAATAATATATCAAGCATTAGAGTACGTTACAGTTCATAAAATGATGCCACTTACCGCCACGCGCCACCCCGCAGTTTTATTCCTATCAGGTATCAACGTTACAACACCATCAGCCCCAATCATTGGCGGCGCGCATTGACTCATAGTTCACCTCCTCATCGCGAGGCGCTGTTGTTTCCTCATCACCATAAAAACAGCATTTCCCTCATGAATGACACCTATCACTCCTTACTACTCCCAGTATCCTTCTAAGGTTGAGTCAGACATCAGTTAACTCAGTTGTCATTTGCCACCAGAGACAAAGAAAGCTGTTCTGACAAATCATATTCACATGTGTTTACCAATATTGCAAGTCCATTTCCATTGACTTCCATTATACACATTCAGGCCTTTATCGTCCGTTGCCATTCAAGGATTATAAGAATAACCATCATATTGCCGGTCGCGTTTTATAGTTCATCATAAACTAATATCTGGCTTTCGCATCAACCCTGTTTGGACTGCGGATTCATTTCTAATGGCCTCGATCAATGGCAATTTGCAATTGGAGAAAAGCAAGAAAGCCAGCATGAATCGTCTACCACCTGTCTCCAGCCTCATGTCCCCTCCAGAAGCAAAACCGTTTGAAGCATTCAGCCCCCCATTTTCACACTTTGCAGTGTCACAGGATCTGCCCTCAAACCACGAGATCAAACTTCCTCCTATCTCAGCTGATCGGAAGCGAACACAGTCAGAAATGGATTTGCCATCTCCACCAGTCACTCCTTACACTGGGAACAAAAAAAGGAAGTCGCATGTTCCTGAACAGATCGATAGCGATGTGGTCGGATCTTCCACAGATCCTGTGCTCTTTCCTCGCAATGATCCTGTTGCTGATGTTGCCACTGATGAGCCATTGTTTGGACCAATGCTTCCCCCAACAGCAGAAGCACTGATCGAACAACATATCAATACACATATGTCAAGATTTGACAATAAATTGAACAAACCGACGCGTGATGAGTATCTTCTGGCTCTTTCATGTGTACCGATTGTTTCGACTCAGTATAATCGCAATCCAGTAGCCTGGGCTAAAGAGGAACGTGAGACGTTAGAACGTCAGTTGGCTATGATGAATCGCTGCCGCCCTGGAGCTCTGGAGGCGAAATTAAAAAGGATTGCCCCGGCACCCGCCAAAAAAGCAGTTACTTCTCAGCCGCGTGTGCAACGTACACCTCGGGCCAAACGTACACCGCGGTCCACTCCAAAGCATAAGGCACTTGACTCCTTTGTTTCATCTGCACCGCAAATTTCCAAGGCGCCTCGGGCCATAGGAACGAATCGCGATGACACAGATTACAATTCCCTCGAAGACTTGTCCCCACCAATCTCAACTCTCGGTGGCAATGCGAAAGCATTAAAAGCGGATTGGAAGGGGCAAATGTTAGATTTGAGCAACGATCCAGATCGGAACCTACTTAGTCCCGCCGAACTCAATCTTGCCGCCACTTTAAGGCTCTCATGTGCAACATATCTATGCAGCAAGCGCCGCATTTTCGAGGCTCGTGTCAGGGCTCTGAACGTTGGGAAAGAATTTCGCAAAACAGATGCGCAACAAGCTTGCAAGATCGACGTCAATAAAGCAAGCAAATTATGGACTGCATATGAGCGTGTCGGTTGGTTTGATCCAGAGCTTTTCCAACAACATCGGAGGTGAGAGGACAGTATACCCAATTCAATTCCATGTTTCAGAACTTTCCTATGTTAGCGTTATCACTTCGCCTCAAGTTTATCTTGTCTTTCTTTTGAGACTTCTGTTCTCCAGCGAAATTAATTCTTTTAGTTGGTGCATTTTTTTATTACTTTTTTTTTTTAGCTCGACCGTTGGCGTTTGCTGGTAATTGGGAGCCCTCTTTATTTATTCCATAGTTTATGTTGCTGTTGTTGTGCATAAATGATTTATTACCACATGGTCAAGTGGATTGCATAGTGTAGCAAATAGCTTTTGCATAGATATTTAGAATTGAATAGGTGCCAACTTTTTTTTGAGGTGAAAGAATAAAAAGAGTGGAGACAGAGCGGTAAAGACCTACGACTCCGTACAAATTATGTACTGTAGAACTGTTAGCTGAGGATTGACTAATGAAATGGAGTTATTTACGTACTATGCTACTATGCAGGTACTACCTAGTATACACAACAGAAAAATATTGTAGCATTGTAGTGCTTTAAAACGATAGAAAATCATGGTGATTGTTTCATGGTCTGAAAGACGCCTGTTATAGATACAGTAGTCCAGTATCCCTAGTTCATAGCTCAAACGTAGACAGACCAAATAGAAAAGACGTGCTTGTTTAGAAACAGAAAACTAGTCCTGGTCGCATCAACATTCCAATTGCTCGATAATGAGAGTAGCAGACTGCGTTCACTTATAAGGTGTATTAGAGTACTGTACTATGATTAATTGACGTCGATCTACGGAGCTACGTACATAGTACAGCAAGCCGAGACGGGAGTACGGAGTGTGTGGGCCGCAATACCGACCACCAGTGTCGCCGTGCGAACCATCTTCCAACACAACCTTTCTAACCACCAGACACCACTGAGCAAACACAGCCCCCCTAATTACTGTATAGACCGGGTTTGAAGAGGAAGAATATATAAAAAAAAAAAAAAAAAAAAACAAAATCTAAGCGACAATGTCGCGGACAGATACCGGGTCTCTTGATAATCAAGATCCTACGAAAGATACAGATGGCGACAAGAAGCCTAAAAGCAGAAGACCAGCCAGTGAGATCGTCACCTCCAACATTCCCTCCAATTATTGCTTCTTAATACTTACGGAATTTCACGTTACGAAGACACTGCTTTTAGACAGCAACGCCTCAAGGCCTGGCAGTAAGCATACAATTTGTTTAAAGACAAAATCGAATTTCTGACACATTAAACAGACCAATTTTGAACCCGAAGAGCGTACTGCCCCTCTTCTTTGTTGTTGGGGTTATCTTTGCCCCTATTGGTGGTGTTCTTCTATGGGCTAGTTCACAGGTAAGCATGTCCATTCCCTCCACCCGTTTGCATTGTAGTCTAATTATATATGCTGTCACGAAGGTGCAAGAATTTGCGATCGATTATTCAGAATGTTCCGACAAGGCTCCCACGGTTCCGTCGTCGTCTCAAATGCCCGGCGACAAATATACGTCGACATTCAAATCATCCGCAATGGACGCTCCATTTTGGCAGCGGAATACTACGGAAAACACCACCACCTGTACTCTGACATTCTCGATACCTGAAAGCATGGGCCCGCCTGTGTTTATGTACTACCGCTTAACCAACTTCTATCAAAATCACCGAAGATATGTGCAGTCTATGTATCTTGATCAGATGAAAGGGAAAGCTGTTGAGAACAAGACCATCAAAGGGAGCACATGTGAGCCTCTCACAATTGACCCAGACACACAGAAAGCGTATTATCCTTGTGGATTGATTGCAAATTCAAAGTTCAATGATACAATCAACAACCCTTGGCAGGTTGGAAGTGTGAATGGAGAGACGGAATACAACATGACGAATAAGGGAATCGCCTGGGAAAGTGACAAGGAAATTATAAAGAAAACAGAATACAAACCATGGGAAGTTGTGCCGCCGCAAAATTGGCGTGAAAGATATCCAAATGGTTATACTGAGGAGAATTTCCCTGACTTAGGCCAAGATGAAGATTTCATGGTTTGGATGAGGACTGCTGCGTTGCCAACGTTTAGCAAACTCGCCAGAAGGAATGATACGACTGAATTGGCACCTGGAAATTATCGATTGAGTATCCAAGACCGTATGTCTAATAACCCCCTCCCTTCGTTATGCTTTGTGCTGAATAGAGTACCAGGATTCCCTGTCACCGAATACGGGGGCGAAAAATGGATACTTATATCTACTCGGACTGTTATTGGCGGTAGAAACCCGTTCATGGGGATCGCCTATGTTGTAGTCGGTGGCACTTGTGTCCTGCTTGGGACACTATTTACTATTGCGCATCTTGTTAGACCCAGGTAAGTCATTTATTTACTATACCTCTAGAATTTCGTCTCTTTCCACTCATCCGTTTATTCCCTTTTGACCGTTTACTGTAACTCGCGTCTGACACAATCTAGGAAACTCGGTGACCACACGTATTTGACGTGGAATAACGATCAGGATAGCTCTGCTATAGCTTCTGGAAGGGACCAGAGGCTCGGGGCACACACTTCTTGATTCCTTGTTGTGTCTTGTGTCGGCTGCTCTTAATGCTCATACTATATTCGACAGTGTGTCCTTGCTTTTTTTTTGTTCGTTTCGGTACGTGGATCTACCAAGGGTAATATGTCATTTCTGAATCTATTATTCAGAAGAAGGCGTTATTTATATGGAGTTCCGGGTTTGGCCCTATGTCAATGCTTACAATTGAATGAATGTACAACTCATTAGTTTGTCCCATGCAATCTATTCTCACATTTCAAGATAAAGCACTCGCTGCATTGATGCAGGTGAAAGAGAAAAAAGGGATCTAGGGATCATTACCATTTCGCGAATGTTTTTCCTTTCTATCCCTTTCAAGAGCATACCAGCTGTATGCTCCTTCGGAGGTTTCGCGACGCGGGTTGATCACATTCCATATGACTGTTGACACACAGCCTAGATGCTTTTTATTTCGTAACTTTCAACTTCGGAAGCAACATCTTGGGCACGAGACACATCGATATGTTTTGGATCTTTGGCCTTCATCTTCTTGCTATTTTATTATCTGCAAATCTACAAGCGCAATGTGAGGTGTTTGAAGTTCGAAGTCATGCCTCTTGCATGACCGACACTCCAGACGATTTACTTCTTCAAGAACACCAACGATTGGGCCTAGCGGAATCTGGTAATGGGACGACTGACTCAGAAAATAGAGAAATACTGGCGACAATCTACGTCGATATATGGTTCCACGTTATTAGTAGTGAAGCGGCGGCTAAAATGGTCTCAGATGAAATGGTCCTTGCTCAGGTTAGTTGCTTGTCAAAGTGACAATAAATTGGCACCAAAGGTAAATTGATGATCTGACCATGGTCAAGCTCTCAGCACTACAAAATGCATACAAAAGCGCATCAATATCATATCGGCTACAGGGTGTCACCCGCAGCATCAATGACACATGGGCCCGCAACGGAGATGACTTGGAAATGAAAAAAAACCTTCGCAAAGGAAGCTATAGTACTCTCAATATCTACTTCCAGACGGGTCTCCAAGCAAGTCATGAAGGAAATGGAAGACTCATTCCTTACGACATTGACCGACAAAGTGATCTTTCGACCGGGTTGACCTCGCTTGTTTTAGGGTTTTGCACGATGCCGGATCCCAAGATAAATGCAAGCAGCCCGCGTCGTGATTATGTCAAGGATGGGTGTAATGTGCTTGCTAGAACAATGCCAGGTGGTCCTTTGACAGGCTACAATCATGGTGGCACTGCAATACATGAAGTTGGACACTGGAATGGGTTATTACATACATTCCAAGGGGAGTCTTGTTCTCCTGATAATGATGGTGATTATATCACAGATACTCCACAGGAGGCTGTACCAACACAAGGATGTCCTTCAGAGAAGAATTCATGCCCAAGCTGCCCTGGTTTAGATGCCATCCATAACTTCATGGATTACTCTTCAGATGAGTGTTATGAGAGCTTTACGCCGGGGCAGATAAGGAGAATGAGAAGTATGTGGTCAGCTACCAGGGAAGGCAAATAAATCATGAATTATACTGTCAAGAAGCTTCTTTATTGTTGTACGAGAGAAATGTATTAGCATTCGCCTGAGTAGAAAGCTCAACATAATCGATTACATTAAGGCCAAGGCTTTCTAAGTGATATTAGCTTATCTCTAGACTGCAATTCTTTTGCCTTCTTAAGGACACTGAATTGAAAAGAACAACAGACTTGAAAGAACAAAATCCAGGTAAATTGCGCGCCCTCTACCCGCTACCTCTTTCGTTTTTTCCCTTGCCCATCATCCACGTCACCCTCCCTGTCTTTTTTCTTAGCTTTCTTTTCCAGTTCATCCCAGTCCTCGCCGCTCTCATCATCTGCGCTAAATTCCTCCTCATCACTTGCTTCAGCACTGGCATCATCATCGAATTCACTGTCATCTTCAGAGCTTTCATCCGCTGCAGCCAATTCCGATTCAGACAGTTCGAATGCAGACTCTGCTTCTTCATCGTCGTCGCCTTCAGAATCTGACTCGGCTGCCAAAAATGACCAGCCCCCGTCAGCGAAGAATCCGTATGGATCACTCACTACGGTCTTCATTATAGTTGTCCAATTCAAATTCAAGGGTCCCTCTGTGAACGCAATATCGACTGAATCTAGCCAATCTTTGACTGCTTCCAGAGACTCCACCGGAATCGTATTAACGTGAACCGGTGGTCTGTGGAAATCCTTGAACACAAAAACAAGGTCAAAGTTTTTCAGTCCGAACTGCAAATCGTTAGGGAATCAACCCAATCTAGGTTATCTCTGATATAGAAGTAGACATTACCTGAACCCTTTCCAAATGAGCAATCTCAATCTCGTTTAATGTAATGACCAGGAATGGCGGCTCAGTTAGTTGAACGAGCGCATCCGTGGTAGGTTGAATCAGAACATTAGAGCGATTTGGAACACCAGTGAAGCCGATTTCTCTGAACGGAATATCGACATCAACACTCTCATCTTTTCCAGCATCTGCAATTTTCTCGGCAAAGGCTTTAAATTCCCGATCCAGTGCAGCTCTTCGACGCCTTTCCTCCTGTTCTGCCTCGAATTCTTCTTCATCACCATAGCGGTGCTTGCGCCTGCGATTGCCGGTCTCATCGAATTGCATTTCAGTAGCTTCACGATAAAATTGCACATCTCTTGTTTTTCTCTTGCCAATCATGATGGGTGTTTTCAAATGAACGTGGATCAGGACAATCAATTCGTGAGCGCAAGGCTGGAAGAAAAGGTGCTTCACATTGCTAAAGAGCACATCTACATGCTCGTTGCGGAACGGAGACATGTAGCGCAGACCATTCTGATGGATCTCAACTTCTCCAGGAACGCGCTTCCCATCCAATGGAGGCCTTAGATAAACGTCAGGCAGTTTCACGGGACGGCGGTCTAAATAACTCGAGTTAGCATCCCGGGAGCGTTGTCAAAATAATAGGTCGCACGTACTTCTAATCTCAACCAGCTTCTCCTGTTCAACCACATCTTCCATTTCTTTTTTCTCCTGCTCGCGCCGCAAAGCATTCTTTCGAAGCTCAGTTATATCCTGCGCAACTTGTGCCAGCCGGTGGTTGTCTTTGGACCTGAGCGTCAGGTTACGCAGAAAGTGTGCCGACAGATCTTCAAATGGCTGATCGTCTTTTCTGCCAACTCCTTGGCCAGGAGACAGAAAATTAATCCGCAAATAGGCATACTCTCCTTCGTCGCTCTTGCTGGCATTTTTAATGGTATTGATGTGAAATGGTACTGGACGACCCATTATGGGAACTATGACAGTCGAAGCCTTATGGTCAACGTAAATCGTGAGATCTTTGACTTTCGACGGAAATTGGTTGTCTCGCTTGTACGACTCGAATCGTTTGAATTTTTTCTGGGCAACACCGTTTTCATCACCGGTCGTGCCAGCAAAGCGTTCAAGGCCTTCCTTGGTTTTCTTTGAAGCGAGTTCTTTCTGATGCTCGCGGCGGCGGGCCTCTGCACCTTCGTTGATCTGTGTCGGTCGTTCGGCACGAAGCTTTGTTCGTGTGACATTTCGACCAGCAACAGCACTGGCTTTAACCTCTTTTTTCTCCTTAACCGGTTTTTCCTGTTCTTCTTCATCTCCAAAGTAAAAAGATACGGAGTCCATGTCAATACCGGCATCTTTGGTGAAAACATGTGGACCGCTCTCGCCAACGCGTACGGTATCTGTGATAATCATCGAGTAGAGTGAATTTTTCTTGTCCTTAGCATTCGAATCTTCAACGTCCGTCAATCCGACGCTAATTGAAAGCGTCATTCCACTCTTCAGGACCCTGTTGTTCTTCCCATTCAGCATCATGTTGGCGTCGCGTAGTTCGATTCCAATGCCAGCGCCGACACTCTTGATAAAGCTGTTCTCGATTTCCGGTTTCTTAGCGCGAACCAAGCCAACCGCCTTGTTGTATAAGTCTTTGGCCGCAGTACCATCGCGGACATCTTTCATGATCGCTTCGCGTACGTCCAAAAGGAAGGCATAATTTGCTTCCTGGGTCTTGCTCGGATCTACCAAGTAAGTACGCGCAATAATTGAGCTGTAAGTCTTGTACCGAATACCAAAACCAGCAATGATGATTCCTGGTTCGAGGTTGCTGTTGTCTGATGTAGCTGTCAGCTTCAGATCATATCTTCCCCCACTCTGAATGACCGGACCGTAGGCCCAGTCGATTTGCTGTGCATCAAATTCCGCAGGGAGCTTCTCCAATTTATTGAAGAATTTTGCGTCGTCAATTTTGGCATCAACTCTAGAGGCCAGGGCTTTGTGTGTCATTTGTCTCTCTTCATCAAGTAAACGAGACATTTCATCAACAAAATAGTCTGACATGAGACCGCTGCATGCGCGCGATGCATTGCGTATCGAGACCTTGTAAAAGTCAGTCTCTATATCTCGAGTCATTGCTCAAAACTTACCAACTCATCGGTATCTTTCACCGAAAAAGCAGCAGAAGAAAGAGCAGGAGCAATGTCAACCTCTTCTAATTCCCCAGATACCTCCGCAAATGCTCGTTTCCAATCATCTGCGAAGGGCCCAGTAGACGAGTCTTTGGGAAGTACGCCGACGTTTCTCTGTTTTTCCCCTTGGCGTTAGTATCTCTTCCGTCCTCAGAGATAAAATTTTTGATCGAGACTCATACCCCGGCATTTTTGATAGCTTCTAAGCATTTCTCAAGAGCTTTCTTCTTTTGCTCTGGTTCTTTGCTAGTAACTAGGATCTCCAAGGGTATTTTGCCGCCTTTGAGGGGCTCAAGGTGCTTTGCTGCGTTGATGTTAATAATTTGAGCATTTGATTCAATACCTTTTGTTTACCTTTTTTTGCTGTAGTGACCACATATACCACTTCAGTAGTGAGTACCAAGAGAGTCGCTGGGAACTCGTATCCAAGAAGCCAGAACTGTAAATTCGACGATCAGCTAGGCAAAAGGCAAGAAGGATGTGAAAAGTAACAAGGCACATGAGACGCACATGCATTGCATTATTCTTTTGAAAAGAATTTGCCTCATCTGTCTTCCCCATGAGTATGACTATCGAGCCTACACCGCCGAACACAGCATTGCCTGAACGCTTGTCTGCTCTCCATGCTGTGTAAAAGCTCGATAGTCGGTTAGAAAAGGCATTTTTGTCAATTACAATCTCGTCGGCCATGATGCGTTCGCTGAGTCACAATTTCCGGTTCCTAGATAGAGTAACAGATTGCGGCTAAAGGTAGCAAAACAAATCCCTTGTCGCAGCTTGGCTTCGACTTCTGGCTTTGACAGGGCACTAAATACCCATTCTGTGGAGTTCCGATGATAAAGTGAAAGAGAGACAATAGCTCTTCTTGGTTGAGAGGTATGGAGTATTAATATTCTGTATTCCGTACCGCGGACGCGAGAGCGCGTTTGTTCGGGACCCGCATTTATTGTTTGAACTGTTTGACTTCCAACACCAGGTCTTCATCTACGTACATTTAGTAGTATGAAGTGGAAATATGTACAAGCATTTATCTGTTTTGCACATGAAATTTTTATACAAAAATAAGGAAAGAGCAAAAGACAAATCACAAGCGTTACAAAAACTAAGTAACTAAGTGATGGCTCTGCAAGGTCTTTGCGACTTTTATTAGACCATTCTGTGACTTTTCTTGTTCAATATATGCATGCGATTTTGCTGGTGGCACTACTTTGACTGGGGATTGAACACCATGCCTCCTCCTCTTCCAGACGATTCGACACATCTCATTGATCCTGTTTCTGAGCTGGAGCACAAACGGAATCCTCGCACCAATGCAGCAACTGGAGCATCCGCGGCTGGTGTTCGGGCCTTGAGCGCTCAGTTTGTTTCGTTTTATTTCCGAGCACCTGTCAAGGCTTTTTTTCGAACTCGAGTTGAGTATGACTCTCGCATCGGTCTTCTCAAAGCTACTCTTATTGACATGCTTATTTAGTTACATGGTATTACATCCGCCTTTGAGAAGCAGTCGGCTAGTATCCACTTACTTTCTCTTATTATAATAGGCTTTTGCAAAAGCTCTTAATCCTCGTGCGGCAGAAGCCGGGTGGTCGTTACATACAACTACTCCCGGCTTGCTTGTTCATGCTGTCCGTACGTATGGCTGGCGTTTCATTCCAGATCAAGTCATACCTCCACTCCTAGCAAATGCAGGGTGAGTACGTACGTTTCCTAGGAGCCTTGGTCACAGAGCTGTATGTTTTGACACTTCTAGGTAGCGTTGGCGCCGTGCTTTACACATCTTATCTCCATGTTCTTGGTCTTCTCCACGAGCCCGTTTCCCAAGGCCTCAAACGCGTCTATCCTCCTGCCCCTCCCTCTAATACATTCATGGCTGGATTTGCGGCCGGTACACTCCAATCAATGGTCGCTGCTCCTTTGGATGCGCTTCAGGTTCGTCTTCAAGCAAATGATATTATCGAGGGCCAGTACCGAAGCATGTGGCATTATGGGAAATACAAGTTGAACCAAATCGGCGTACGTGGTATTTTCGCGGGCTGGAGTCTTTCCTTCTTACGAGATGCCTTTGGATATGCAATTTTCTTTTCTTCCTTTGAATACATCAAGGCACAGTCATATTACTCATTTGTCACTGCATATTATGGATCTCTGGGGGCATACCAGGTGGACAAATTGCGATTGTTCGACTCCAGTGACCGCGGGGTGCCACTAATAAAACCCCACTATGCCCTTGAGCCATGCTTTTTGATGCTCGCGGGGATTGTGGCATCGGTTGCCCAACAGACGATACAGCATCCGCTGAGTATCATCCAAAACCTCCACTTTGGACGGCTTGAATATCTCGATAAACAGGCGAGTCTTGCCCCTTCAAGGCAACAAATGTTGCGCTTCTACTATCATGCATACCAGGAAACATTCAAGCGATGCAGAAAGAAGGCCGTGCGCGTTGGAGGGTGGTATCGATGGTTGTTTCGTGGGTTTGTAAAAGATTCCGTTCGCCAGGTACCTAGCACCAGCGCTGCGCTGGTCATATTCGAATTGGTGCGTCGTAAATACGCTAATCTGGCGGACGCTGTATATATCCAAAAGGACGGGTATGATATTCTTCTAGCCTAGAGGATAAGTTCTGTGCAACAGAAGCAAGTAAATTTCACTGATTCTGTCGTCCTCGATGTTCTAAAAACTTCGCAGTACCATAGGGCCATAGACATATCCAATGACCAAGAGAAAACGATTACTTAATGCTGAAGGTATATCATTTGACTTCGTCTGTGGGGCCATTCAATTCGATATCATACCCCAAGTGGACCAAGATCGTTTTTCTCCGCCTTTCATCGGGGTGATTACTAGTGCTAGTTAGTAAGCGTATGGGGTAACTAACTAATTACGGTACGTTAGCGATGTGATCTGACGTACTCTGTACATCGATTCTATCAGCTCTTGATTTTCGACTGTATTCTCCGTCTTCTAATTTCTCTCACTTCTTTTCTTCCGTTTTGCTCATCTGACTCTTGAATCTTGGCTTCGTATTCCTGTCAGTTTAACGCATTCCTCGGTTACTCCTCAACCAACCATCCCTGTTTCCTACTTTACTCCGCTTGTTGGCAGACAGTTCTGAGCCCTCACTAAGTTTTGTAAACGGATCCTGCTTAAGGATAATTGTCTTTACGAATCAAGAGACTGGCCCATGTCTTTATACGGAAGATCCAACCACGTACAGATAAGGGAGTACACACCATAGTGCATTCCTCATACCATACGGTCTTCTATTGTTTTACTGTTCGTTTGTCATATTTAAAGGACACTGCCAGCTGGCATGGGGTTTTCATTTTTCTAATAGGTCCGTACAGGATACATACACAAACTTCCCGTTCTTTCAGCTCACAACCAACTGTCAAGTTCAGCCTACGATCACCGCCAACATTATTCCTACGAGATCTTCTTCTCGCTTCCATTCAGACATACCCCTCCATTCCCTGAATTTTCACACCCAGGAACAGGTTCTCAAATCCCAAATTGAAAAGGGTAGCCGGCGGTCTTCGCTTTCATCCGCCGACTCTGCCGAGTCAACGCACGCTATCTGGGGAGACCTAACAGAGCAGGTTGATAACGCGGAAGCTTCCTTTCGAATACCTCTCACGAGATCTCTAGGCCATAGAATAGATCATCAGTCAGCTAGAGAACGTGCACCACAACAAGATCCGAATCCCCCTTTCAGCGCGCCGTTGGAGCTTGACGAAGCATTACTTAGAATACCACACCCACCCTCTCGACATATCTCAAGTCTAGAGCATCTTTTAGCTGTTATAATGTCGCCAGGGAGGAGACGGACCGCCAAAATGCATGGCTTAGTTGGAAAACCGTTGTTGTGAGCTTCTACGACACTCTCCATGCCTCTATGTTTTGTTCTAATATCTATTCAGGTATTTTACCAGCGTTTTCGTCTCATTAGGCGTCTTTCTTTTCGGTTATGATCAAGGGGTCATGTCAGGAATCATTACGTTCGTCCCCTTTCAGAAATCGAGAAGAGCGAAAGAAAATGGTGAACCGAAACATGTACTGACGGGTGCTTAGAGGCTGGTATTTTAAGGACTATTTCAATCAACCATCGCGCGCTGAAATCGGCACAGCGGTTGCGATCCTCGAAGTCGGTGCGCTCGTTTCGTCGCTGCTCGTCGGACGGATTGGTGATTTAATAGGTCGACGTAAGACCATTTTCTACGGCTCGATAGTATTTTTCATAGGCGGTGGATTTCAAACATTCGCGACAGGGCTACCTATGATGATGGTTGGGCGTGTCATTGCAGGTTTAGGAGTTGGGGCGCTGTCGACAATTGTGCCTGTGTATCAATCCGAAATCTCGGTATTTTTCTACAACTTACCCTTGGTGAACTTGCCGAAATGATTGCATACTGACAAAAATCCATAAGCCCCCGCATAATAGAGGGAAGTTGGCCTGTATTGAGTTCACCGGAAACATCTCGGGATACGCAGCCAGCGTATGGGTCGACTATTTTTGCAGCTTCATTGATAGTAACTACTCGTGGCGCTTGCCATTGCTATGCCAATGCATTATGGGGGCGCTCCTTGGACTTGGTAGTCTTGTGATCTGTGAGTCACCCAGGTACGTTTGTGTTCAAACTGAAAGTGGACCTCTACAGGCTTTTGCCAAACTCACAATCCACTAGGTGGCTTTTGGATAACGACCATGATGAAGAAGGCATGGTAGTCATTGCAAATCTTTACGGGAAAGGTGATATACATAACGATAAAGCGAGACAGGAGTACAGAGAAATAAAGATGAACGTCCTCCTTCAACGACAAGAAGGCGAGAGATCCTACGCTGATATGTTCAGGCGGTACCGTAAACGCGTCCTGATAGCAATGTCGGCACAGGCATTGGCGCAGCTTAACGGGATCAATGTAATCTCATATTACGCGCCTCTTGTCTTCGAATCGGCAGGATGGGCAGGCCGCGCTGCCCTCCTCATGACAGGTATCAACGGGCTCTCCTATCTCGCGTCCACTATTCCGCCATGGTATCTTGTGGATCGTTGGGGAAGGCGGCCAATCTTGCTTTCTGGCGCAATTGCTATGATAATATCTCTTTCTCTGATATCATACTTTATTTACATTGACATCGCAGCAACTCCGGCATTAACAGTCATCCTCGTCATGATATATAATGCCGCATTTGGTGCATCATGGGGTCCCATACCCTGGCTTTATCCACCCGAGATCCTTCCGTTGAGTATTCGTGCAAAGGGCGCCAGTCTCAGCACAGCATCAAATTGGGCATTCAATTGGCTTGTTGGTGAGGTTACTCCTGTCCTTCAGGCTGTCATAAAATGGCGGCTTTATCTTGTGCATGCCTTTTTCTGTGCGTGTAGCTTTGTGCTAGGTAAGCTTCCACCACTTTCCCCTATTCTCCTCTGCTCGACCTCCGCGCTCATTAGTTGGTTGATACGAACGTGAGTTTAGTTTATTTCCTCTATCCGGAGACTAGCGGTGTTCGCCTGGAAGACATGAATGCTCTATTTGGAGATGCGACTACTACCATGCCAACACCAGCCACCCAAGGGGAACAAGGCTCATTAATGGGAGCTGGGTCTCCTGTCTCGTCGCTCGATATCCGGCGCCAGCACGGGCAATTTGGACCTGAAAGTGCCATTCCCGGTTTAGATATCAATCCTCCAAGCCTACCTCATGCTGACAGCGGCAAGCCTAGCCATTCTGCCTCTCAGGAAGACAGCGGCAGAAGAACAGAAGGTATTGGTGGCTGGATATCTAACATGATCAATCACCACAAAGGGTCGGGGTCGAAGGTACATGGTAGTCAGTACAGACGTCTTGAGCAAGAAGAACAAGATGAGTAGTGGAATGCTTTGATGGAGAGGGGTAGTTGGATAGGGATTTCCTTTATCATATTTTATGTTTTAAGATTCGTGAATTAGAGGTGATTGGAGGAGCTCACACTATACTTCTGAGCTGTTCTGCTAAATCAAATTGCTTCGACCAATGTTGCTATAGTTATATAGAGAAAAGATGATATAAATGATCGTCTAAATGAAGCAAATCACCATTCTGTATGGAGGCATTGAATAGAATATCGGAAAATGTGAAATCTTATAGTTATGGGCCTGGCAATCATTAACTTCACCACTCAATTAGCTCTACCTTACTCTTTATTGACGTTGGAATGCCTCTCATACTGCAGCGTATAGAGCGGTTGGATATCCGTGTTCCGAAATTGGCCTGCCTAAGGTAAGCGGGGCGCTTGACGACGCGCCTCATCCTTAGCTCCAGGACAGCTTTTCATATTTACACTTCCCTCTCCCTCCTTCTTCATTCAATATCGTAGGTCCACGGTCTCTACCTATAATTCATTTTCGATTCCATTTTCTTTTTCTTTTCTTTATTATTGCTCTCTTAACTTCCTCTGTTGAAACCGACCGACCAGCCATTGTCAATTTCATTTCAATCGTCTACCAGGAGACCATTTGATTGCAACAGAAATGTGTTTATTCCATCAATAGAACCCAACCTCAAGAGAAACAAAATCCGCCAGTCATCCAAGTGATTAATAATTGACTTGCCATTCATTTACTTTTCCTTTACCTGCCGCCCCCCCCCCCCCCTTTTAAAAAAAAAAAAGATTATTTTTTATTACAACACCAGACAGACCCTTGATACTTTGCGAACGCCTCTTGCAGCTTCCGGTGTTGCACCATGGCCGAACCAGACGCCGCATCCACCACCGGAGCTCAATTTGCACCGGATCTGCGCCGTAGAAATGTTCCCGGTGCAGAACAAGCCGGTATCGTGCATTCGCCCGATATGGCCGATGAGCAAAAGAAACCTAGATATGCGGTATGATACTGTTTTCAGAATCGAGAACAGGCAAACTAACGGTAGCTGGGCTTAGTCGAACTCGTATCTTTCCGCATCACTTGAGTGGGAACACATAATTGTGCCAATCATACTCACAGCTTTCTCGATCTTCACTCGAATGTATCGCATTGGACGGTCGAATATCGTGACATGGGACGAAGCGCAGTAAGACCAAACCAACACTCGCCTTTTAGGCTTTGCCTTAGCGCATGTTCTTACAATCTTACCTAGTTTCGGAAAGTTTGGCTCTCACTACTTGAAGCGCGAATTTTACTTCGATGTCCACCCTCCGCTGGGAAAGATGCTAGTCGGCTTGTCTGGGTATCTTGCCGGCTACAATGGATCTTTCGAATTCAAATCTGGCGAGACATACCCGGAAGATGTGAACTACACGTTCATGCGCGTCTTTAATGCCGCGTTTGGCGTTGTCTGCGTACCTTTGGCGTACTATACCGCCAGGGAGCTTAATTTTCGAAGGGCCACCGTTTGGCTGATTAGCCTGATGGTACTTTTCGAGAACTCGTATGCGACTATCTCACGTTTCATATTATTGGACTCCATGTTGCTCTGTTTTACTTTTACCACGACGATGTGTTGGGCTAAATTTCACCGGCTACAGCATGCCAGCTTTTCAGTTGAGTGGTTCATGTGGCTCTTCTTAACCGGACTCAGCATTGGCTGTGTTTGCAGCGTGAAATGGGTAGGATTTCTTTGCACTGCGATTGTTGGCCTTTACACGGTTGAGGATCTGTGGAATAAATTCGGTGACTTGAAAATGCCAGAGGTTTGTAGTCGACATGGGGGTTGAGTTGTTGATTTATCGCTAATTTCTGTCAGACTACTCTCGCGAAGCATTTTCTTGCCCGTGTATTGGGACTGATAATTGTTCCTGCCCTGGTCTACATATTCTCCTTCTACCTCCATTTCTGGATCTTGGAAAATAGCGGCCCGGGCGATGCGCAGATGAGTTCTTTGTTCCAAGCAAATCTCAGAGGTACTGAAGTTGGAAAGGATAGCCCCCTTGAGATTGCTGTTGGTTCGAGGGTCACGTTGAAGAACATGGGCTATGGTGGTGGACTACTCCATTCACACATTCAAACATACCCAGAAGGCTCTACTCAACAACAGGTCACTTGTTATCACCACAAGGATGCCAACAATGACTGGTTCATTTATCCAAACCGCCATGAACCCGATTATGACCTGAACGCTCCACTTAAATTCATCGGTGATGGGGATACGATTCGCTTCATTCACGGGCAGACAGGACGGAACCTACATTCTCATGCCATACCCGCTCCGGTCTCTAAATCCCACCATGAGGTGTCTTCTTATGGAAATATTACCATCGGAGACGACAAGGACCATTGGAAGGTCGAGGTAATTGATGATGTTGCGTCCAAAGACCGAACAAGAATTCGTACACTCAGCACAGCGTTTCGGTTACGACATCCCGTATTGGGCTGCTACCTACGGGCTGGAAATGTCAATCTCCCACAGTGGGGTTTCAAGCAAATCGAAACAACGTGCGTCAAGGAGAATAAACCGTCTGATGTCTACACGCACTGGAATGTTGAATCTCATTACAATGAACGACGTAAGTTAAATTGTATCCTCTATATCACAAGCCCTTACTGAGAGACACAACCGCAGTCCCACCGGGAGATCCAGGACAGTACAAATCGCCCTTTCTAAAGGATTTTATCCACCTGAATGTCGCTATGATGACATCGAATAATGCTCTCGTCCCCGATCCAGATAAGCAAGACGATCTTGCGTCGAAGTTCTGGCAGTGGCCAATACTCCATGTTGGTCTTCGCATGTGCTCCTGGGATGACAGCGTCGTCAAGTACTATCTCCTTGGAAATCCGTTTGTTTACTGGGGAAGTACGGCTAGTCTGGGTATCTTTGGACTTTTGATCCTCTGGTACCTCGTGCGCTGGCAGCGAGGTTATCGTGAACTCAACCAAGCCCACATCGACCACATCCATTACTCCGGTCTGTATCCCGTCATCGGTTGGGTTCTCCATTATGTCCCGTTTGCTGTCATGGCACGAGTGACCTACGTTCACCATTATTATCCGGCTCTCTACTACGCCATTCTCACGTTTGGTTTCTGCGTTGACTGGCTTACGCAAAAGTTGAATGTCAAGGGGCTTTGGCTCACTTATGCCTTGCTGTACGCGATGATTATCGGCACGTTCGTGTACTTCCGTGTGATCGTGTTTGGCATCGAAGGCTCCAGTCAACAATGGGCTCATTTGAGTTGGCTGAGTGGCTGGAGGATTTCCAACTAATCATAAAGCTATGTTTGCTACTTGTGCCATACTGGTTTTACATTTCTCCTCCACTCGATTACATCTCTGATTTCAGCATTCTGTATTCAACCAAGAAATTCATTAGCTGAGCCTATTACTATTTGTTGGTGCCATGTTATAAATTATATTGTCGCTAGCCCTTTATTATGGCTACAGTTGGGGGCGGAGTGACCGCCTAAATTTGATGTAGAGCCCATCTAATACCTCTATCCAGATCAACAACAACCTCCTGTCCAGTTATTTCCGCTTCTGCGCATGGCATCATTCAGGCCCAGGGTAACAGTTTGGGGTACACCTGAATTTGAACCTCCTGTGGCACCAAACCCTTTCACTCCACTTCGACGATCGTTCAAGTCGTACTTACCTGATTCAATATTGCGATATATCCTCTCGGCGACTTCGAGGAACGCACGCTCAACACCCTCACCAGACTTCGCACTCGTCTCCACGTAATGCACAACATTATTTAAGCGGCACCATTCTTCTGCCTCATGCTTGGGCACCCGTTCCCGATTGGTGTCAGGACCATCTCCGACCAAATCACTTTTGTTGCCAACGAGAATAACAACAATACCCTCCTCTGCAATTTGACGTAGGTCTTGGAGCCATTGGATACATGAAGCGAATGTGGAAGGTCGTGTGATATCATATACCAGAAGGGCGCCGGAAGCACCGCGGAAATAGGAGCGGGTAATAGACTTGTAAGTTTCTTGCCCAGCCGTGTCCCAGAGTGATAGCTTCATTTTCTTCTGAACTGTAGGTTCCTGTGGCTTCCGGGGAGGGCTAGGAAGACCAGACGCAGGCTGATCCTTTGAGGCATTCATTGATGGTGATGGCGATATTGCTAGGGTAGACGTGCCGCGATCATGGGTGCGGATGTCGGAGTCTATTCCTAGGCTTTTGGAGGCTGGAGGTCCCACGGGGACGATTCGCGATCCGAATTCCACGCCAATAGTCACATCATGAGTGGAAGAGAATCGTCCTTCGCAAAGTCGAATGGTCAACTGTAAAGTTAGATATATTGACATTGGTTATTGACGGCGGCGCACTTACGCTGGACTTTCCAGTCCCAGAATCACCAATGCACACAAGTTTAGCAATATAGTCCCATGGCTGTGACATGGATACAGAGAGTTCTGATTTGCAGATACAAGTGAAAATCGGGTTGTCAGAATGAAAGCAGAACGTTTGAATGTCTAAACAGCCATGGAACTCATCCTATGAGTATTGTCGCTGGGGAAACCAGGTCAATTATTAGTGAATCCAAAAGGTGAGAATGACACTGTTAACCCATGCCACAGGTTTCCGCTTGCGCCTATCAGATATCATTTGCTGAGTCACCTATCGCCCTGATCTGACCGTATGACGCCTGCACTACTGCGCCTAAACCAACCAACCAACCATTACCACAACTGCTATGATTATTGTGTTGCTGCTGACTTTACCGCATCTTCGCCCTACCTCAGCTATGTGTGGGTTGCTTCCTGACTGAAGCCTGGTCCTCCTACATTATAACCTGCATACTACTACAACTACTACAACTTCTTGGAAATATCATACAGCTCTTGCCCTTATTTCTAAACATTCATTTCTATTCTATTAGGACTTGCCCTTGTCATACTTGATATACCACATAGAAGACTGTATGCCATCTTTCATGCTGGAATCGGTTAAGAATCTCAGCCACACTTGACGATTCGCTGATTTCGTCCGAATAATTCCAGTGATCATGTTCTCAGAATGTACGACAAGATTCTTCTCTTCATTTGTTGCTTCCTTACTCATTACCATCGCATTTAGATGCCTCGCGCTTTCTCGCTCAATCCCAGTCTCGAATAGCACCTCGTCCTGATAATAACCAAAGTGGTCGAGGCTATGCACGGCCTCTTTCTCGGTTTCCTTCCTCGCTTCTAAACAGGACAACGGGAGACCCATATCAACCGTCCACGTCGCAGTTTTCCAACTTTCCTTTCACCCATAGAGCTTCTGCCCAACCTGCCCCTCTATTCTATAGCGCTACAGACGAGTTTCGTGAAGAGGATGATGAAACAGAACATGAGCGGGAAATCGCAGATTTCTACGCTTTGCAGAAATCAAGACGGCACTTTGGCGGCAGTCAAATGAAGGATTCCTCGGAAATGGAGGAAGATGAAGAAAGCTCGGCTAGCATTGATGAGCAACAATCTCTTTATGCCGACGGTCCTAGGGGAAGGAAAGGCATTCGGAGTTCTTGGCGAGGTGGTAAAGCCACTCACTCACCGCGCAATTTCCTTGTCGATCCTCTGCCAGAGGCCATCGAAGTCGAGGATGGGCCTTATGCAAACCGGAATAATACGCGGGATAAAGACACTTTGGTCGACATTGGCCTCGAGGATACGCTGAGAACCGACGATAATGTCCAGAGGTCTGCATCACCTGAATCTGGCGACGATGACCCGCCTTCGATTCAACGTTTTCGAGAGCAACCGCGCACTTTAAGGGGCAGTTCTGGAATTGAATCCTTTTTTCTGTCTACGGATGCGAACAATCGAGATGGCACACAGACAGCGGATCTCGCTGACACGCAGCCAAACTCAATCACCGCTGTTAGAGTGGAATCGCCTATGCATGATACTTTCTGGGGCCAACTATTTTTGATATGTCTGGCTTATCTCTTTGCCACAGCGTTTCTTGTCTATTTACATACGTCCAGCCCGTCTGGTGACAAATCGAAGTGGGGAGATACTATTTATATGACGGTTCACAGATCTTTCCACCTTCTGGGTATATATACCCTCGTGTCAGTGTTCATTTCACTACTTTGGCTAAGCTTATTGCGGTCATATGTACGGCCTCTGATCCACGTGATGATTGTTGCTGTCCCCGTGATTTTATATTCGTTCTCGATATTCCCGTTTGTCTCCAGTTTCAGAGGTACCTGGCATGGAGCGAGCATACAGGACAAAGTGATGCGTTTTGGATCTGCGGTTCCTTTTATTATGGCAAGTGCGTGGCTATACAACGTCATCCGAGGCCGCCACGCCATAGGAAAAGCAGTGAGTATCCTTGAATTTGCGTGTCGGATACTTGCCGCAAACCCCGAGCTACTCATCCTCGGCTTAGCTGTTCTCTTCTCTGTCGCATCGTGGACATGGGTATGGATGCTCATGTTCACTCGGGTATTTCTGGGGGGGCATTTTTCTGGTTCAAGGTTGTTCTTGATCGATCACAGCAGCTGGTGGATAGGAATCTATTTCATTCTTGTTTACATATGGTCATTGGGTGTGATCGCGGGAATTCAGCGTGCGGTCACGTCCGCAACCGTGAGCCAGTGGTACTTCCATCGCCTTGCAAGACCGGCACCCACCTCCCGGCAAATCGTGCAGGCGGCCATGTTTCATTCCCTCACAGTATTGTTTGGCACAATATGCTTTTCAAGACTTCTAGCACTATTGATCAGGCTTCCTCTCCTCCTACTTCCTCGGCGTGTCACATCCGCACTGAGTTTGTTTGCATATTCCCTTATTCCTACACCGGTTGCGAGTCTCACGAACCCTCTTTCTCTGACTTATGCGGCAATCCACTCCAAGCCGCTAGCTATATCCGCTCGTGAACTTTCTCAGATGGCAACCCTGTCCGTTTCAACCGCTCCATCTTCATTACACCCTCGCTCTTTCTCTTTAACGCATGGCAGCCCTGCTCCTCTGTTGCCATACCGGTTGTCAAAGCTGATATTGCATGCTACGCGTTTCATGATGTCTTTGGCGCTCGGTTTTGGCGGTTGGGTGACTACGGCGCGAAACTTAAGTATGCCCGGTGTCGTTGGTACGGCTAGTGGCAGCATGTATGCTTATGTGGTTGGGCTTATTGCAGGAACCATTGGTTGGAGTATTCTGGGAGCAATGGAAGGTATAATTGCGGATATTGTAGATGCGACAGTTATTTGCTGGAGCAGTGAGGTTGGCACTTATGATAGGGAAGCTAGGTACTGTCGCGAGGCTGGGTGGCTCTTTGGCGATTTCGCGGACTCCACGCGTCATCATTTTGAGGTTTAGTTTTTTTATTTTTATTTTTTTTTTTTTCAATCCTTTTTCTTTTCGTTTCTTTTTCTTTTTTTTTTTTTTTTTTTTGGGGGATAGAGTTTTCTAAATACCAACAAAGTGCGCTAAGCTATCATTTTTATGCTACTCCATTAATTCCTTATGATGCGCGAGCAAATTTAAATAAAAAAGTATATAATAAACAAAATAAAATATAATGAAATAAAATATAATATAAAATAAAACATACAGAATAAATGGAATGGAATGAAAAGGCTGTGGTATCACTTAAAACAGACAGAATGCAACAATAAATGGCTCATTACGCCCTCATTCAACCGCACGAACGCCCAACCCAGTAAAATTGATAGACCAACTCTCAAAAATCAAGTCGACTGCGCCAATGTAGACCTTCCTTTGCACACCACTCATTCAAGATAGACCAACCAAACCGCACAATCTGCAGAGGTGTGTCTGTTCTACCGAGCGGTAAGAAAAATCCCCCGGAATAGTCACCAGGTGTGAGTGGCTGCTTCCCTCGCTCAGAGTATCTCCTGGAGCGATTTTGCCAAGTTTCAGGGAATTCTCGCTCGAGGACATCTTCGGATAGCCCTCTCATGCCTTCCGCCCACAATCTTCGAGACTCCTTGTGATTCTTTGGAAGCCGAGTTTTAAGCTCAAGAAGCTCTTTCAAGTTTTTCTTGCTTTCTTCAGAGGGAGCAGGTGTATGTTCTCCCGGGAGCGGGCTGACTGCAAGTCGGTCCAGATCGAGAGCATGGATGGCATCATAAGACACAGCACCTAGTATTGAGCAAAGGCTATGTAGCTGCGGGTAAGGGGCACTGATCTTCTTTACCACGTTCCAATATGCAAGAATAGATACCCATGCTGACGAGTCGCCGATCTGACGTGCCAGCGCCTTAGATTGATCATCCGCCACAAATGCCAAGATGAAGCATAGAATGGCCTCAAGTGCCGTAGCGGCTGCAACTTTTTTGTCAGAGGCAGTCGCACTTTCTTTCGCCGTATGTCGCTCAACGGCATGCTTTAGTTCTCGGCCAAGGTTCCCATATTTCTGATATTCTTCTTTCCAGGCGCGGCGCTCGTAGCTGCGTGAATGGCTAGGTTGGTTATTGGCTTGCGGCGGTGACAATCTCACGGTTGAGTCCCCTGCAGGATCCTTGGAGCCCTGAGTAAGAGGTGTCTTGCCTTCACTGATTGTACTTTCCATATGGCGCGAAGATGTGATTTTGGGTTCTTTTATGGGCGTGGCTTTATGCTTCCCCTGTGGTCGAGATATAGACATTGGAGTTTGTGGCTTTTCTAGAACAAAATCGCTGGGCACATGTTTTACCTTTTTCTCTGGCCGATGGAACATCACTGCGATGTCGTCAGATAGCGGGACTTTTGAAACATTATGGTCTTCTTTCTTGGTAGGTGAACACGATGCAACTGTCTTCCTTTTTCCAGAGAACTTAAGAAGGGCCTCGACGCGTTTTTTATTCGCCCTTCCATATCTGAGTTTAACGATAAGTTGTCGTTTAATTGGGGCTGCAGCGGGAGATCTGCTTTGTACCCTCTGGAGACTTGGACTCTGAGTAGAATCTAAAGGTAGCACATTGAGGTTGGATGACATTCTCGCTGCATCCTCCGTCAATTTATCAAAGTTTGGGAGGGACCCTTTCTGGGATGCACCGTGAGCCAGAGATTCATCATGGATGCTGGCGAGCTCCTTTTCAATGCTAGGAGGAAGGGTAGGCGACAACAGTTGAGGCAAGCCCGGGCTGTCCGAGGTAGGCGGGAGGGTCGGTGATAAAAGATCAGGAAGCCTATTCGACTTTGAACGATCTGGCCTGTCATCTACTGACCGATCAGGAGACAGCCGAGGCTTCTTGGGGGAACATATGCTTGGAGGTCTCCCATCATTGGATTTGGAATGCTCCCGTTCGAAATCGGGTGGGCGTTTGCGGCTTGTATTTTCGAAGGCAGGCCGAGATGAGGACTTGGATAGTGTCGTACTGTTCGGATGTTTATGCGTATTTTGCCGCGGAGGACCAGGTTTGGGGGCTCGTGGCTTGTCGTCAAATGCATGAAACGTTGATACGCTTTGACTTATGGCCTCCTGGGTGACGGGAGGAGCTGACGCACCACTCTTCCATTTATTCTTATAGTCCGTTAGACTAATTTTTTTTTTAGCTGGCCCACTTGACGGCGTGCTTGCGGCGCTCTGAGATCTCGAGCGCTGATCCGGCATAATGCTCCCTGTCCCATCTGACCAATCACCAACAGCAACCAACAGAGAATCCCCTTCGTGGTGCGTCAAAAAAGTCATGTACTGAAGTTGTTGTTCCTCCAATGTGAATGGTCCGTCGTCGCCCACAGCCCAGTTGTTGATAAAATGATTTCCGAGGCGAAAAGGCACGTTAGTCGGAATAGTAAGGAGGAAAGGGTAGAATGGAAGAACTTCGTCCTTCAGGTGTTTCAATCGCTGATCAATCGATTCTTGGTCGGATGCAAATGTCCGTTCGTGAGCTGATTTAGAATTCTTGAAATTGTTATCCGTCGAAGGAGATGGGCGGTCCACCGCCATTGCAGTCTGTTGACTCTATATGCGTGCGGGAGGAATAAACGACAATGACAATATAATAGAGAAGGATGGGTCTGAATGTCAATAATATCGCCGGAGGATGTAGAGATAGTTGGTTTCATGTGGGAAGTTCACCCTTAACACCCGACTGAGAACAACAATAGACAGAGCAACCCATCGACTCCAACCAGCTGTTTCGCAGACTTGTGTTACCACTGTCCTGCGAGATTTCAGACACCCAAAAACAATATCGCGCAAACACACATTTCACTATGTACTTTCTGCAATGTCTCTTTGGACCACTCACACCTAGGATTAACAAGCGCGCCTAGTTATCTCTGACTAAAGCGAACCCTTTTGCGACGACTTTGGGGGCTATACTGAGAGAAACGGGGAAACCTAGCGATAGCTGGTATTTTGCACTTCTTTTTCAACTTGGATAAATGACAGCTATTGATAAAAAGATCAGATAACAACCAAAAAAAGAATAGAAGAGGGAAGAAAAGAGAGTGAGATACTAAACAGAGGGCAGGGGTAATAGTTTGTTGGAGAGGGACGTCACTGAGCGGAGAGATGAGATGCTTGGCATTCCTTCTTTTAGAGAGGTATCCAAGATAGACTGTCATCTCCATACAGGACCGACTCTATAATTGATTGTTTTATACTTGCAATTGGATTAAAATTCAGCCAGTTTTGCCTCGCTTAATGTCATTATTATGATATAGCATCCGAAGCAATTGTCGAGAATATTACGTCATTGCCTGGGGTCGCTTCTTATATATCACCGAATCTAACTCATTCGCTAAAGATCAAGACGACAATACTTTTTCTTCGTCTTTCGATTATTAATTCTGTTATTATTATATATGTCTCCGTGGAACATTATTCGTCACTCGTGGGTCTTCCGGAATCGCCTTTGTCGTATGGCTTCTCAATTCTCCAGTAAATCAGCGGGGGTATCCCTCGCTGACCTTCCAAAATCGAGCGTGTTCACCTCCAGGCTACCCCCGGACCCTGCATTTGAGACCCCCGCTTCATCTCACAGCGCGCCTCGACAAACCCTTGGGCCGCGCTTGGTTAGAGGTGCCCTATATACCTTTGTTCGTCCCGAGCCAACGGAAGAGCCGGAATTGCTGGGAATCAGTCCTAGAGCTATGGAGGACCTTGGACTGCAATCAGGTGAAGAGCAGACCGTGGAGTATAGGGCGTTGGTTTCTGGTAACAAGTTCTATTGGGACGAAGAGAACGGGGGCATTTACCCTTGGGCGCAGTGCTATGGAGGTAAGCACTAGGCTAGTCCGAACGACAACCACGTTTTACCGTATAGCTGACATGCTAAAGGCTGGCAATTGTATGATGACCGGATAGACCATACTGGAACCTCGAGCTAACCAGTCTCAGCGGTGTTTGGGCAGGTCAACTCGGAGACGGGGTAAGATTAATATCTAGACAAAAGCCTGGGTGACATACTTGTGCTGACAGTGGACTAGCGTGCGATAAGCCTTTTTGAGAGCATCAACCCCGAAACAAAAAACCGTTATGAGTTGCAATTGAAAGGTGCTGGTAGAACGCCCTACTCACGCTTTGCTGATGGACAGGCTGTGCTTCGGTCAAGTATCCGTGAATATATCGTATCAGAAGGTAGGCTCTAACCTAATCCCCTTATGCACAAGGCTTAGACTTTGCTGAGTGAACTTACGTAGCGCTTAATTCTCTCGGCATACCTACTACCCGCGCCCTCTCTCTTGTCTTGTTACCAAAGTCGAAGGTCCTTCGAGAACGCATTGAACCGGGGGCTATTGTTGCTCGGTTTGCTGAATCCTGGCTGAGAATCGGGACCTTTGACCTTCTTCATGCTAGAGGAGATCGTGATACAATCCGAAAAGTTGCAACCTTTCTTGCTGAAGATGTCTTCCAAGGATGGGAATCTCTCCCGGCAGCCGTGCCACTTGGAAAAGACCAATCCTCGGCAGCTGTGGATAACCCAAGCAGAGGCGTTTCCCGTGATGAAATCCAGGAACACGAAGGGGTGGAGGAAAACAGATTCACACGACTATACCGAGAGATTGTTCGACGGAACGCGAAAACAGTGGCTGCTTGGCAAGCTTATGGGTTCATGAATGGTGTGCTGAACACCGATAATACGTCGCTATATGGTCTCTCGATCGACTATGGTCCGTTCGCTTTCATGGATAACTTTGATCCTCAATATACACCAAACCACGATGATCACCTTTTGAGATACTGTTACAAAAACCAGCCCAGTATCATATGGTGGAACTTGGTTCGGCTCGGAGAGTGTTTGGGTGAACTTCTGGGCGCAGGTCGTAACGTTGATGAAGAGGATTTTGTCAAAGAGGGATTGACTGAGGAATCTGCAGAGGCTGCTGTTAAGCATGCCGAGAAACTCATTGAACGAACAGGGGAAGAGTTTCGCACGGTCTTTTTGGATGAATACAAGAACTTGATGGGCAGAAGACTGGGACTGAAGACCCAGAAAAAATCAGATTTCCAAGATCTTTTTTCCGAGATGCTAGATACCCTGGAGGCGCTCGAACTCGACTTCAACCACTTCTTCAGGCGACTCTCCAAGCTGCCACTTGCCGAGACAGAGACCGAGGAAGGTCGGAAAGCAGTGGCGCCGATTTTCTTCCACACCGAAGGTTTTGGGGGCATTGGGTACACCGAGGATTCTGCCAAGGACCGCATTGCAAAGTGGCTTAACAGCTGGAGGTCGCGGATTCTGGAAGACTGGGGCACCGATCATGATGCGGAAAGACAGAGCGCCATGGAAGCAGCTAATCCAAATGTGAGTTTCCAACAGTCTTTCTCCAAGGTGTTCAATAACCAAAGGCTAATTATACCTCCTCTCACCGTAGTTTATTCCTCGTGGATGGATCCTTGACGAAGTGATTGAGCGTGTTGAACGTAAGGGAGACCGGGAAATCTTGGGACGAGTCATGCAAATGGCATTGAACCCCTTCAAAGATGAGTGGGGTCTGGACAAGGACGAGGAGGAACGGTTCTGTGGTGATGTGCCTCGATTCAAGAGAGCGATGATGTGTAGCTGTAGCTCATGAGATTATGCCTACGCACAATGCTGATATTGTAGATATTGGTTGTATGTACAAACTGAAGTACATATTTGTCTACATTAGGGCTTTAAGTAATCTGCCAGAATAACCCAGTTTAGAATACACATGTTAAAAGCATACGCATCATTCCTGAGACATGGTAGAATATGCCTCTTTTTGGGAATGGTTTCGAGTTTCGAATAAGTGAATGGACTGGCCAAATTTAAAGGTACAATAAGTCTTGACTTCTAGGATCTATCGCGACCAAGCACTGTAAATATGCATCGCAACTGAAAGAATATAATGGAGGGGCTTCATTTTTTATAATATATTAATGTTAGAACAACTGCACTTTTGTTTTTGTATCGCGTAAAGGAAATTTTCATCACGCTTGCCCACCAGCCATCCAGATCGTCTGTCTGTTTCTGAAAGATATCTTCCTGTCCACACCCGGAATCGGAAGATAAGAGACTGCGATTTCAATGGCGCGGATCTCGATATCAATGGGACATCGGCGAAACCGCAGAGTAAAACGAAAAGAAGGCCATTCGAAACAGGTCTTGTGAGCCAAGGCACGATTTAATCAGAGATTGGGAGGAAAGAAGAACTCTAAATCGTAGCTGATGACATGGCAAAGAGTTCCTCCTGGCCTGGCTATTCGTCCACTAGCACGATAGAGAAGGCGATCGATTCAATATTACGTTGACTTAATTGGGGCAGGCAGCCTGAACGTGTCCGGCCTCCTTGCACTTGTAGCAGACTCGCTCACCCTTAGCCTCCGTAGGGCAGTCACGGGAAACATGGCCGATCTCACCGCCTAATAACAGGTTATTCACTCAGATCCACACACCAGAAAGGATGCAAAAAAACTCACAATTGTAGCACTTCTGGCCTTGGGTGCAATCACGGGCCATGTGGCCGAATCCGCCACAAGAATAGCAGGTCTGTTGCCGACCGCCGTATCCACCACCAAACCCGCCTCCGTAGCTGCCACCCTGGGAACAGCTGCGAGCAATATGCCCAACCTGACCGCACTTGTAACATTCCTGGCCACCGGCAGCACCTCCACCTCCGTAGCCATCGGCCGAGCCAGGTTGAGGGCATTCGCGAGAAATGTGACCACTGACGCCGCAACGGTAGCAAGACTTCTCTTTCGGAGCTACGGTGCATTCTCGGCCTGTTGAGATGGAGGGTCACAGTTAGTCAACCGACAAAAAAAATGTATAGGTAAGTTTAAGTATGGGTTTACTCACTAACGTGGCCCTGTCCTAAAGTTGAAAGAAAGCATTAAATAAGACAAAATTTAAAGTAGAAAGTAATGTTGGGATGTATGCATACCACCACAGTTGTAACTGTTGTAAACGTTAGCATTAGCCCTACAACCCCAGAGAACAGAAATATTGCATACCAGGTAGGAGTTCCCTTCTTGGGGCAGTCACGAGCCTAATCACCAAGAGTAAGTTTTCATATCCTTCTGCACCATAGAATATCCAAGGAAGAGCGAGATTTCATAACAGAAAAATAATTCTCACCTGGTGCGATGCATCGCCGCCTGCAAGGATAAAACTCTGTTAGTGGCAAGACAAGAAAGAAAAAGAAAATAAAAAAAAATAAAGGAGCCAGTTTTGTAGGGATATTGCGTAAAGTATCCTTCGGATGCCAGTACATGATGGAAGCATTAAGTCGACTGTGTGACTCCGGATTGGACAAAACAGCCACAGATAGCACAGGAAAAATGTCAAAGTTTTGGGATAAAGCAAAGGAAGATTTAAAGTGAGATGTAAAGCCTATGTTGCCAGAAGACATGCGCTTTCATTTTTGACAGTCGCTAGAGTATTTTTTCTCTTCATTTTTAACTCACAGTTGAAGCATCCACGGCCTCCGTTCTGGTAGTCCATTTTGAATTTGAATTAGGAAAAGCTTTTCGGTTGCAAGAGAAAAATAGTAATGTTGATTCGAAATAAAACCAGAAAAAATAGTGGTTGAGCAAAATTAAAATCGTAGTGGTGGATGGAAGTGAGAGAGACAAAAAAAAAAAAAAAAAAAGTGAGATATGCTAACAACGGTTAGTGCGGGGAGAAAAAAAGTCTTCCTTCCCGCGGTGCCTGGCAGCAGGTCAACTATTAAGAGAGCGCCTCGACAAACGAGACGATAAACAAGCGAGACCGGAAGAAAAGGAAACCATTGCCACAGAAATAGTGAATATGGAATATGGCCTCTTCTGTTTCCTTATGTACCATCTGTTCATTGAGGATGGTGGTGAATCCGCTGCTGTTTCATGCCTTAGGCTCAATAATTCTTTCAATGAATTGAGGCCGCAGGGGGGAAGTGAGCAATGAATTGAATGATCCTCAATCATTCTTGTCACCATCCCTTATTTAGGGTTCATTGCTGAAGCATATATATCATTATTTGGGTATTGCAACATCACACACAACTTATGTTGATCATGCCCAATCCATGAATGTGTAAACACCAAGTGACAAATAAAATAAACAAATAAATGAGTGACAGAGAATGGACTGGTCGACATTGTATAGCGTCTTTATGAAATTCATTCGATACTGTGTTTATGATGCTTTTCCTTCTGCCAGGGAGTGCTTGAAGTTCGGGAGCAAAAAAAAAGCAAGAGGAAACCAGCAGTGTCATCGAAGGTTTAGTGAAAGAAAAAAAAGTTGAAGCAGTAAGTAGAAGGACATATAAAGGCTGCGTCCAAGGTCCTCATTTATTCGTAAATTCTGTTGGTTCGCGGATTATCACCTTTTAACTTCTGAGAAGGCGTTGACCGAGAAGGTCCTCATCACTGTCTATCTTGTGCTGCCGCAAAAAAAAAAAAAAAAGCTTGCAATACCGACCCGAGACCCAACCTGGTTCATATAAAAATATAACATTCAAGTAATGCTTCCCCCATTTCCTGTTCTCGAAGCAAAAACACGCGTTCTTCATCAAATCCTATACAGCTTTGTATCCGTGCCATTTCTCGAGAGACATCACTAGAAGCTCTCTCAGCTACATTCGGTGCTGGTCGGTCACGATTTCCATGCAAATCAGTCCGTGCATTCTCGGGACTGAGTCGAGTGCTGCTGGCTTCCTTCGCTTTCCGTCGAGCTACAGGGGATGAAACAACTGATTCGAGTTCCCATACCCGTATTTCATCTCCACGTGAACTAACAGAAATTGCCTTGCCACGATCGTTAACCTGCACAGTTCCCACGGACGATGTATGGCCCCAGAGCCTTTGGCCACTTTTGACGAACAAGCTATTAGAAGTAGATACGACGAGGTACACAGTGAGGGTGTTGTCCGGATGAGATGCCAGGAGAAAAGGATGTCGATAAGAAAGAGAGGTTGGGGGCTCTTGATGTAGTATAAAGGGCTCACTTGGCATCGTGAACCGCCTGACACCTTCGGCCTGGTAGTCCCATGTGGAGTGAAATATTCTCTCCGAGTGAGTGAGAGGCCGTATGCCGTATTGCGAATCCACTGTTGTAGCAAGCCGCGAACCTATTTGCTGGCCATTGCTATTCAGACGAAGTTCTTGGATCCCTAGTGACCAGCCACAGCCGATGTGGTAAAAGCTATAAACAATTGATGCAATGATTTCAGATTGCGCGGCCCGGATGGAGAGTGACATTGGTGCCGCAATGTTATCTGCCTGTAGAGACGCAAGCAGACGGGCTCCGTCTGAACCACCTGATCTGTTGCGACCCTTGGGTCCTGAGAGTATCTTATATAGGGAGAGCGCCTTATACTTTGAGACGGTTAGCAGATATGGAGCTGATAATGCCATTGCTGTGATTGTTTTTGAGGTAGATCCAGTGTGGTTGAAATGTAAGCTTAGTTTCGATGCCTTGATATCCAAGTCATACACACTGAAGCCCTTGTCTTGAAAGCCTACCGCAATTTCGATATTTTTCTCATCAAGGCTGCGGGTTGCTGACAGAGCTGTCGGGACATCAGAAGAACATTCTGATGGTATGTGTGCGACGCAAAATCGTGGGTTACCAGCAATCCAAGCTCGAAGCCCATGGCCGGAATCTGCCGTGAAAATAAAATCGGCACAGAATTCAACGAGCAATGGAGGCCGTGGCTGTTGAGCGAATTCAATTTCAGTTAAGCGACAAATCCCCTTGGACCAGTTATGCTTAAGGTGATACTGTCGTTTCCAGTTTGTAGGCCTTCCCTCCTTTGCTAGATGACTCTGATCTAACCATGTTGATACCTTGGGAGAATATTCGGCTTTTGCTGGTAGCATAGAGGCCCGTTTTTTGTTTGCTAATCGACGTGCACGGGGGCGAACCCATTGTGAATAATATAGTCTCTTCCAAAGCTCTGAATCTCCGGCCAGCGCATGAAATCGGCGCGATAATCTGATACAGCGAGGGAAAGTTAGCTGTCAGTTCGCTCAATTCCTATATCAACCCTCTCCAATTTTATCCTGTTCTATAGATGTACCTCTGACAAACGATCAATGAAGGTATCGGAAGACAAGATAGAATATGGAGTAAGAGCTCGTCGCTCAAAGACGAAAGGCGGTCGACTCTGCGGGCGCGCTTTGACGGATGTGAGTAGGAGACAATGCTGCTGCTGCTGCTCTTCTCATCGTCGTGGATATATCGTTTCGACATGTTGCAAGTCGCTTTATATATTGAGACGACTCTTGATATTGAGCATTATGTACCGGTGGTTCGGGTACGTCAATGAGCGGCTTATCTAAAGGCTTGATAAGGCCCGCGGGATTACGCGATCTGGAGACGCGTCGCAAGGATCATTACAATGTCCACTATGCTACATCCAGTACTGTGCCGTGTACAGCCCTATTAATGGACACCCTCAAGCAGCTTCATACTTCCGTCGCTCAATTGTTCGAAGACTCCTTCGACCATGCCTACAAAAACTTGAATGCCGAGCTCGCTCGTCGAGATGCGCAGGCCGATGAGGCAGCCAAAGCCGCTAAAGGAGCCCACGGAAATGCTACCACCAGAATCCAGGAGCTAGAACGCGAGGTTGCGAATCTGAAAAAAGAAATACATCCATGTGAAGTTGACGCGAAATCCAAGAGATTCTCTGCCTCCATGCAGGAGGCATATGGACCTGAGCGTGTTCTCGAGCATTCTGCTTTGATGGATCTTCATCCCGATATGAAAGAACGGATCGCAAATATTAGCACTAAATATCGTTCTTTGTATGAGAATTTCCAAGAGCTTGTATGTGTTTGTGGGACACTCAGGGCGAAGGTCGATAGTCATAAGCGAAAATTGGTGCAATGGCAAGACCGCGTCACTCGAGAGGAGTTTACGATTGAACTATCAGGGGTCCCGGTCAAATTTCGGCGTATGTATGGCAATGCAGCCATTGAGAACATATTGCACTTTGAGCCATCGAGGTCACGACAATCTGCATTAGAACCATTGGGGCCGGTTTCTCATAAGGACAAAACTGGGACTTCGACTCCAACTTTGAACCAACAATCGATTGAAAATCATCCTGAGCAAAGCGCTCAAACCAGAAATGGGACAAGAGGTGCCCTGAATCCGTCGTTTACCTTCGAACTACCATGCTCAGCTTCACTAAGGCCCGACCTTTCGTCGGCGAGCCAGGAAACTGTGTCAAATGACCTCTCTTCCGATGAGTCCACTGGAACAGTGACGCGAGAGCTCAAACGGAAGCGAGTGCCATTGCCGGGAACTGCTCATCAAAACACATCCATCCAAAACGGCATCACGGTCAGATCGCAGCAAGCTATTATCATCAAGAGCGAAAGCATGTCCTCTAGCCCCTCTCGAAACTTTTCAGAATACCGCGCACCTGCGGGTACCCAGGATCTGGATGAAGTTGGCAGTAGTGTCGAGACCCCGACGAAAAAGAAGCGTCGCAATTGCAGTTCAAGTAAAAGGGAGTCTTTGGCTACTGATGTTCTTAAGACAACTAGGGAACTTGGACAGGATCACGAGAACTCTCATCAACCAGGATCTGAGCGGAGGAGGTTGAATCGCGGAGTCCTTCAGCCCGTTGATGGTAACTCACGGGCTACCGGCTCTTCCGAGCAGCAATCAAGTACCACAAAACTAAAAGGAAACACGGAAAAAGCAATCAGAAATGGCATTCCTTCGTTAACAGAAGACGGAGAAAGCTACGTGAATGCGAAACGAACTGGAAAGCACACATCCTCAATTGAGACAGATCAGTACTTAAATACTGGAATTATGCCTGCTCAGCAACGACTCCAGAGTTTTCTGGAAGGGCCAGCGCCGTCTAGGTCACCTTTGAATGTTCCGTGGAGTCACGTATGCCCTGCTGATAGTAGGCGACCTGTGAACAAAAATTTAGGAAGCAATATACAGCATGCTTCTGCAGAAGGCCCACGGCCCTCGGAGGCAAAGGCCGAAGGCAGTATGCGAACCGGTATGGTACATGGTAGAGACTCTCGTTCAGTCAATGCTCATGAGAAGCCGTCAGATGCGCACCATGGAGATGAATCTTATCGAACCTTACCGCTTCACCGGCTTGAACTTAATCATTTCAAAATAAATTCCGATTATAACCATGGCGCTGACTACGCTTTCGGCGATATTGTTCGTAAGGGAGACGAACGCAAGGGCTTGAGTGGTTGTACACATACCGGCTGCTGCGGCGATAAATTTCTCGCTATTGCTCGAGCTGGTGGTCTCCAAACGAACCTTGGTGGAGTAATTTCGAAAGAAGCAGACGAAGAAAAAATTATAGAAGAATACCTAGGCGATGAAAAAGATCTGATTCACTCGATGGACCCCCAAGATCGCCAAGAGCTTCTTCATGAAGCGCGAGCAAAACATATCTCCGATATCTTTGGAAAACATAAACACGTTCACCAACGTCCTCGCACACCTCCGGGTTTCTGGCGTACAGATATGCCAGATACTCAAGAGTTAGAGCATGACCGCGAAGAAGCAGAAAAAGTGGAAAGAGAGAAGGTCTATGAACGGTATAGAGAGGCCATGCGGCCGGGTGGGTTGTGGAAATTTGCGGACGAATAGGCTTGTCTTCTCAGCGGCTTGCATTTAACGATATATATCCCAATTTATGCTGTTCATATCTAGACCATGAGCCTTCCCCATTGAGGGTTGTCTATTCACATGACCGTTCATGCATGGCCCAGTCTTACCCTGCCATGTCAAATAACCTATTGAAAGACCTACATCAAGCCCGTATTCTATGTAATCAGCAAACCCTCCAGAACAAACGCAATAATATTCTCAGATAGAATAACACTAGAATGCAGTACAGAGTACCCTGTACATAGTAGTAGTACTAGTACTATCCGCATTTTTACCTCGGTCTAAACATTCTTGGCAGATGCGGAGCACGTGCCTTCCTTATCTCCCGCTTGAGTCCGAATTGCATCCCTGTCATCATCAAATCAATCTCTTCCAACCCGACTCGTTTACTTCTTCTTTCTTATTTATTCTCACCGTCATCCAGATATTCTTTGATGGTCTTAGAGGTCTCAGATTTTGGTGGTACAAATAGAGACTTCTTCGGGACTTGATGCTCCCGGCGCGTCCTGCCGCAGAGATGAAGTCAACATCGAAATCGTACAATTCTGTGGCTGCAGTGCTATTGCAGCCATCGAAATGGCTCCCACTTTACGAAGAATTTGTAACGAAAAATGCCAGCTCCGTGGGGCAGGTGGAATCTGCGTTGCGATCTTTGACATACATCATCCCAGGTTAGTCCAAACCTCAAGACCTGACGGTGCAAGCAACAACAAGTAACGGTGATTCTTTTCATTACGCAGGACGATACAGAGACTCAGAAATATCATCAGAGTGTGGTATGTGAGAAATCTAGTCTGAAACTATAATTGCCATCCATCTAATGCTTTGGGCAGTCCATTCTGGAGTGCAACTTTTGTCGCTGTACCATGACTCTCTTGTCTCACGAGTTATCTCGAGACTCCCGTCCACGATTCCTCGACCAGCACCGACACCGCATTCTCGCTACACTAAATATTGGACATCTCATTCTTCGTTATATCACCGAGTGGCCCTTTCTCTGCAGATGATCCAATACACAGAGTTATTGTGGGAAATGGTTGCGCGACGCCGAGGCCAAAAGGCCCGTTGGCGTGTGGTGGTTCTGATTGAAATTGCAAAAGCGATCTGTCGCCTGCTTTTACTTCGTCTAACGAACTCTCGGCCGCTAGTAAGCCCCCCTTTGCCTGAGCGTGAGGTGGATCCCAGGTCTGCGAGTGATGAGGAGGGTGATTGGAACGGAATGCAAACGCCAGTGAATGAGAAATCTTCCGATCTGAGCTGGACCATGCCCCGCACGGGGATGTCGTTGCCATCTCTTCCAAATGTGAACGATGTATCAAACTATCTTATTTCGAAAGTACTTACGGCCGACGATATCAAACCCCCGAAGGCACTTTTACACAGAGTTACCGGACAGGGCCAGCTAGCTGAAGCTTTATATATCCTTCGACCAGTGATATACGCGCTGGCGATGCAGAAATGGAGCGGAGACAAGCGAAGCTGGAGACCCTGGCTAATTGGATTCGGAATGGAGTACGGGTGCCGGCAGCTGGCCAAGACAGATTTTAGAGAACGGGTTGCTGGTGGCCTTCGTGGGCTTACGGGTCTAGAACGCGAGGAATTGAGAAAGAGAGGATGGGCAATGGGCTGGTGGATTATGCGAGGCGCATTTTATGAGAGCATTACCAAGTATGTGTTCCTTTACCGGTTAATATTAGACAAAGGAAAAGTGAAACTGACAACAACCAGGTCTTGGCTAAAATCATTGACTGATAAGATGAAGGGGAAACCGCTACTTGACTTGGTCGGCAGTATTATCGAGGACTACGAATACCTCTGGGATAATTACTATTTCCCAACAGCGACTCTGTAATTCTGTTTTAACAATCACTGGTCATCATCAGCCCTGAAGGATTCTGCTAGTGCAGCCTATCGCATACCACGGACGCTTTCTATGTTTCTTGTCTGTACAACTAGGGAGTTTGTTTGGAGATACCCAGGCGGATTTGGGATATTTAGCGACTAATCTTGTTTTTGCTGCGAAAGTCACATCAAACGGGGTATCATTAAAATTATCCAGTACCTAATTTTATATATAGTAATAAATACATCCATGTGTTCTTGTTTTCACAAAACTTCTGCCATTTTGTGACCATACCAATCCCGCAACTCTCCTCGGTCTGTACCCTTGACTGTTCCGGTGGAAAGAAACTCGCTAAGTCGCATACCCTCATCCTCTTCCACGAGCCAGTCGACCTTGACTCCTCCTTTTAGCTCCAACATCTCTTTTGCAGTGCCCCAACTGAATCGGCATTCATTGCCCCACCCAAAGATAGGATTCATGTTTCGCCGGAGCCAACCGGCACATTTAGAATCTGATGGATAGCCGCTACCCCAATTGTCTGCAGTGACAATCCTTTCTGACTTCTGCTGAGCCGCGAGTAACGTTTCGTAACATGTGTCTAACGCAATATCTCTGGTCACCTTCGCAACAACACTGGCAGCGCTAACGCAAGGATATAGGGAATCGGCCTTTTTTGCTACCGTAATTTTGAGAGATGGAAATATCCGCTCCAACTTCTGTTGGTACGTTGCCGGGTTCCCGATAGTATCAATGTACACTTCTTTGACGTCTACCTTCCTCTCCTCCACAATTCCTCGGATAATCTCGATTGTGGCGTCCATGGCCTGCGCATTGAGATTATAGATCCCAGTCCCAGACCGCATCATCCCCGAAGATATATCGCGCGCAGAAAGAAGTTTGGTTGCCCATCCACAAGACTCGAAGAGTGGGTTTCCCTCTGTGCAAATCAATCGCATCAAATTGGCTCGTACCGCAGGTGTCAGAACTTTGCTGTCATCGAAGCTATATTCTCGGGCCAGGAGGGAATGATGGAGTTCTGCAGGCAAATAAAAAGCACTGTAGACCATCGGTCCTAGCACTGGACCACGGCCGGCTTCGTCGACACCCAGAACATATGGAGTGATATTAGGGCTTTGAGTTGAATTTTGAGTCGCAATCGCTGTGGGACACGGCGAGTAGTGCGAAAAAGACTCCCCAGAAATCAGGAGGCTGCGGTCTATACTGGGAGGAAGGAAAGAGACATTAGAATCATTGTTATCGTTCGTCGTGGTCGAAGTCTCGCCGTGGACGGCATCAACAGGATTTTCTATGTAATCCACCATGATCGCACCCAGTTTGGTGGTTTTCAGAAAAAGGACCAGTAACGTTAGTCCAGAATTTTAACGTAGCGGAGAGATTTAAGAAAACGGGTAAAAAGAACTGGAGGAAAACTGCTTCCTCGTTGTCGGAGAGTAGTACATAACGCAGACGCGTCGACCGCTCCGGGTTAGCGGCGCGCGTCTTTTTGCCGCCTTGTCCGGAATTCAGTCTTCTCCAAGTACCCTCCGCAGCGGTCAACTAACTACCAGCATCACTCCTGTACACGTCCTCCATTTTTTGCTTCATGTCTCTGTAATATTAGCAGGCTGTGAACCCCACCATCTACGTGGTTTCCGCCATCTTCAGCAACTAGGTGGTATTCCTCTGCGTTCAAGAGCTAGAACAGCGCGCGTTTGCGTTTGTCCGCACGCACTCTTGAGGGACTTTTTTTTTTTTTCTTTTCTCTTTCGCTCTCTTTCCTCCGCGAATTAATATTGATCACACCTACGCGTAAATCTCACCGTGACAATGGCTCCTCGAGGAGCAGCGAAAACCCGCGAATATGATTATTCAAACGTAGGAAAGGCTGGGAGGTAAGCAAGCTTACCCGAATTGGGAGGGGGGTTGTTCAGTATAGGCAGCGGGGAAACTAATATAAGCGATGCGCGGATATAGGCGCACAGGTATTACGCTGAAAGAAGGTAAACGCGATGAGCATGGCATGGAAGAGATTGATGGAATGTTCTCATCCCCTGAGAAGTCTCCTGCCAATGAAAATGGGTTCAATTACGGCAACGAGACAATTATTGGTTCTGATGGCATGTCAATGGACGAGGGTATGGCTTTATTCTCTCTCTCAATCCAATCTTTTCAGGCTGATATCATTTGGTAGGGAATGCACCCGACCCCGCAGATTTTCTAAATGGCAGACGCGCATCATACTTTCCGCCCCCCGTTGCACGATCACCTATGAAGACTGGCCTTACAGGGTCACCGCGGAGGACTCCAGGACTGCGATCGTCTGCCAGTCCGCAACGTGACCATCCTTCATCTAGTCCGTCCGATGGTAAATCACTGCTTAACGCGAAACAACGTGACGTCTCCCCGCTTTCACACCGGTCCATCAATGCGCCACCTTCAAACCATGCGAATGGTCTGCGGATTAAAAACAAGACCAACATCAAACCATCAGAACCAACGACGACAGATGATTTTTCGGACAGTGACGCAAACAGCCAGTTTATCGGCGATGAGAATGGAGATTCATTTGAGCAGACCCGGGACGATTTCGCTGATAGTTTCGCTGCTGGTGACGATGCCCTACTGGAAAACGAAGCTTCGCAAGCCGTAGAAGGGCCGGGTCAAGAGGTCACGGATCCGGATAGTCCGGACATGCCTTTCGAGCCGCGCAGGACAGAACAACCTAGGAGTACTGCAACGAAAACCAAGAGAACGGCTTCGGGCGACAATAACCGAGTTCAAACCACCGCACGACAGAACGGAACCCACGAGAGGGAACTCGCATCGAGACCAAAGCGACCCGGTCGACCTCCAAAGACACAGCGCAAGGTTAACGAGGAAGCTGAGGATCACAGACCATCAAAAAAAGCGAGAACTTCAGCAGATCGGACGACAGGGGGCGTGAAGATAACGGGGAATCCTCAAATCGATCATATAACGGATACATACGCAAAGCGACAGGCAGGGCCCACCAAGGGACGAAGCCTGTACATCCTCAAGCACGAAGCACCCGCAGAGGACACCGCGGCCCGCACACGATCAGGACGAGTTTCAATCAAACCTCTTGCTTTCTGGAAAAACGAAAAATGTGTATTTGGAGACGGAGAGATTGCTGAGGGCGGTCGATTTCCTCACGCGACAGTAAAAGAAGTTATCCGTACAGAAGAAATTGAACCCGAGTATAAGAAAACAAAATCAAGCAAACGGCGTTCGAAGAAATCGAAAAACAAGGATATTGAATCGGACGAGGAGAATGAAGATCATGCTGATCGATGGGAAAAAGACAACGGCGTTCTTCACGGGTACATCAGAAAATGGGACTCCGAAGCTCAGGCAGGTATCGATGAGGAGGAGGTTCTAGGTAGGTTTTCTCTTCTTTTTATTTAACACACGTGTTGACCGATGGGCTGTAGACATCGCATATGCACCTTCTGGGATCGAGACAAGGGACGTCAAGGATGCAACATTCCGGTTTGCAAAGCTTCTCAGTTCTCCATTTTTGGGATCCGGGATAGTCGAGTTACCGCCCGGAGGCGTCAAAAAGCCCAAGAATTCAAAGAAGATGCATATGGTCTTTTATGTCTGTCATGGTCGGGTTCAGGTCGATATCTCTGGGGTACAATTCAGCGTTGGAAAGGGTAGTGTATTCCAGGTTCCCAGAGGTTTGTTCTCCGCTTACCCCATTCCTTTCTGTTTTTGCAACTCATCCTAACTTCGAATTATATAGGCAACTATTACAGCTTTGCCAACATTTATGAATTTGATGCCCGGTTGTTTTTCACGCAGGGATGCGTTCCAGCAGAGAATGAAAGCCTGGTCTCCGAGTCAGCTTCGAAGCCAACCGCTATGGAAGGCGACTCTACAGACGCTGGCCGTCCTACAAAAGGCAGGCCTAAAGGTAGCAAAAGCGGCCCCAAGGGCTCTAAGGGCGCTAAGCAAAAGGGTGGATCAAAAGCATCCTAGTCATCAAAACACCAATTACCCGTTTTCACCTTTTCCGTCTCTTTTTTTTTTTTTTTTTTTTTTTTTTTTTTTTTTTTTTTTTTTTTTGATACCAAGGCTGCTGTGATTACTAGCAACCTCGTCTTTGTCGTCTTTGTCTAGCATTTGTCCTTTGACATTGTTTTTGAATCCCGTGAGGGTCATTTGTGTTCGAATTAGCGATTCAATTTGTATGGTTAGTGGGACGGCCATGTGCATTTATATTTCCTTTTTCATGCGGGCAAATTTTGAAAGCGAAACCCCGGAGTGAATGGGTTTATCTCGAACATTTTGAATGATATTAATTTATACAGATTACACTATACTATGCTCGGTTATTCTGTCATCAGAAATGTCGATTTTCCGTATCAATTAAATCATATTTCCTCCATCAATTCGTTTTCATGGTCGTCATCTAATCCTAGAGGAGGGAAATCGCCCACTTCAACCTTCTCCGGCTTGACAAAAACACCCGTTTTGTTGGGGCACTCAAAGTAGCGCTTACCACCGACGCTGCCGTCGTTCTTCCCCATCGGCTCATCAAGTTCGATGCCAACCCAGATCGGCAGGGAATCCCGATCCACTCCGCCATCTTCTGTATTCACACCCGGGAAGGGAATCGTTGACACTGGCCCAATGAAACGGACAATCCCGCGCCGAATATGCGGCGGGGATGAGGGGAGTAAGATAGCCCGCCTCGAAACGGCAATGTCTGTATTCGTGTTAAAATTCATCCCCTTGACAGTAGTAACAAATAGGGTTTCTCATCTCACCTCTTTTTTGGACATCTATCCTGTCTCGATTAGCCTGTTTCTGCATCGCCTCCTCCGGCGGAACGGCAGTAGGATCAAACCGCCCCAGCTTCTGATTCTTCTTCCACGCCAATACCGAGTTCGGAAGCGTCTCATATGTCGACTCCGGCAGCACATACTTGTCTACAGCCGAGAGATCAGTAAAGTTCGGCCGCGCAGCCGCAGGTCGCGTATCATGGACCTCAATCTCACTCCCCTTCATCAATCCCCAGTTCCCAATAATCGTGTCATCGCCGTCAACCCATTGATTTGGGCGGCCCGGTGACTTGAGTTGCAGTTGCTGACTACCTGGGGGCACACCGGTCATGGTCTCCAGCTTGGCTTTTAGCTGGCTGACGGTCCACGTTGGGGTGATGCGGCGTTCTGTGAGGAAGCCTGGTTCATTGGGGTTGCTGTTGCCGGCAGAAGTGATGATGACGGAAACATCCGTCGGGGTTGGTTGGAATGCCATCACTTGTTCTTTGTTGCAATGGTAGTCCAGGTACGAAAACTTATTGATAGTTAGAACGCATTTTTAAAAGTTGGGGAAGATTATTGAAAAGGAGAGGGGGTGAGTGACGGGGATGATAAGAAAACAACACAAAAAAGGCTAAATAAAGTGAGATCTAGTCAAGTAATAGGGTAAATTAGGTTGAACAATCATTCCATGGAAAAACGATTAATTGATTGTTGGGAAGAACCAGACACTCGGGGGGGATTAGAAAAACACATCTGGATTCCTTTCCAACAATTCACAAGGACGAGTATTTTATGACTGACCAAAAGCACTCACTCACCTTTAACTGCAATGTCCAATTCTCATCATCATCATCATCATCATCATACAAGTGATGGATGTTCTGGAGTGGACTGTTGGCCCCAAGAACAACCGGCGATGTTTAGTCAGCCAATGTACAGCATAACTAGTTAAACGTAAAATCCATATCAAAAAACCAGCACCGATAAAGTACCCCTGTAGGAGCTTACCGAAAAGACACTAGATTAATTTCCCTTCTGAATCATTCCTCTACAGGAGAGAGCAGAAGTACTGCAGAAGAAGTCAGCGAAAAGTACTGCTGACTGAGGAAATCTCCGAGCCACGTGATTCAATCCTTCAGAACAAGGGCATCACCGAACCTTATTGCGAGTGTAATTTACACTTGTAACGGGTGGTAATATTTTTTTTTTTTTTTTTTTTTTTTTTTTTTTTTTTGTGGGATTAAAATCGCCAATCCAAAATTCTGTGTCTACAAAGAATTACCCTATAAAGAAGCATTGAAGGGAAACAGGCTGGAAAGAACAAAATGACTGACAACGATGCAACCCCCACCGATGAAAGAGCCTCGGAAGTCTATGAGGAACAGAATGTCCATGAGGTGTATCAGCAAATAGCAGAGCATTTCTCGTCTACCAGGTACAAGGTCTGTTCTATCTTATCCTCTATGTCTATCTATAAAAGGACTAGTCTCACTCGTATATCAGCCGTGGCCCATTGTGGAACGTTTCCTCCGAGAATTATCGCCCGGTTCCATCGGGCTCGATGTGGGATGCGGCAATGGCAAGTACCTGGCGGTCAATAAGGACATCTTTATAATTGCTTCAGATCGGTAAGTTTCTTTCATGTCTCTATGTTTAATTCGCGGACCAAATCATTTCTCTTTACATACATGACTGGTTAAATGTGGGAATGCACGGAAACAACGAAAATAAAGTGCCTCCAATAACAATGCCCAACCGCCCATTCCTTCACTCATTCTATTCTTTCTCCCAGATCTTGCTAGTGCTCGGATTGACCCGATATCCCAACAGATCTGAAAATCTTGTCCGTATTGCTGTAAACCATCAGCCACATTCCCCCATAGTAGCTGATATCCTCCATCTACCACATCCTGATGCTTTCTTTGACTTTGCCATATCGATTGCTGTGATCCACCATTTATCATCACCGGAGCGACGGATTCAGGCAATTATGGAAATCCTGCGCACACTTAAACCTGGTTTCGAAAACCATCCGGGTGGAAAAGCCCTGATATATGTCTGGGCGCTTGAACAGAAAAACAGCCGGAGGGGCTGGGATAAAGGGGACAATCAGGATGTAATGGTTCCCTGGATCATGAAAAGCGGCTCATCCAAGGGCGGTTCCAGCGATGCGCCCAAAACTTTCCATCGATATTATCACCTCTATGAGGAATCCGAGCTTGAGCGGGACATTAGACAGGCAGGAGGGCGAGTCCTGAAGTCAGGGTATGAAAAAGATAACTGGTGGGCAATCGCGGCGCCATCAAAGGAGTAGAAAACATCAGGTCGGGTCGGGAGGCATTGTTTTTTGCTCCGAGGATCCAGCCTCGGAGTCAAATATTTTGTTTTTCTTTTTCTCCTTTCAACCTGTGACCTAACAATGAAATGAAACGAAAGCAAACTGGCCATCAATTTATGTTCATCACCTTTACACCAAAAAAGAAAGAAAGAAAAGAAACGAAAATAGAGACACGACACAAAAGGGAAACAGACGGAAGTCATAGGAGAATCATCTAAAGACAAACAAACAGGCAAAGACAGACAATATCCACACAAATAAAGGTATCTCTTCAAAACAACGCTATGCAATTCGTAAAGTGGGGGGAAAGATCTCCCAGGGCGTACAGACGTCGTTCGTTTGTTTTCTTTTCTCGATTTTTTCTTTTTTGTTTCTTTCTTTGACCCTATGGGATGGTTCGAGGTGGAAAGCCGATGCTGTGCCCTAAATGGCCACCGTGACTGCCACCCATATCCATTGGACCCATTCGATAACTTAGTTCCCTCGTAGGGGGGAATGGTGGAGCCGGTGCATAGGCTGGAACACCGGCTGTAAGCTCTTCAACCGAAGGGAGCTGCGGTGGTGGGGCTGGGCGTGTCATTGACCCCTTTCGCGGTCTAGACAGGGAAGCACCACTGGTTCGGCGTGATCTAGTCGAGGGCGGATCGATGGCTGTGCTGGAAAGGGAGAAAGGAACCACGCCCGCTCGACGGGCCATCTCTTGCTCCCCTAATTGCCAGTGCATCGCTTCTGCGGCCCGCCATGGAATTGCCATCTCTTCTGCCACCTTGGACCACATTTCGGCCTTGAATCTATTAGACAAACGTTAGTATATCGGGTCTGTATTGGACAAGGATCCCTGGTTTCCTTCCCACATTGCAACACGTACCTTTCGTATAATCTAGCGAGCTTATTCTTCTTATCCTCATCCCACTCGCTTCGGCGTTCAAGATAGTTCTGGTAGTGTAGACGGCAACTAATGGCGCTCCGGCCGGGAAGCCGCCTGCTGATATCCTCCCACTTCATCCCACTTCCACGCAGCTCGATGATCAATGCATCTTCTTCGGGAGACCATTTTGATTGCTTCTTAGCAGGCGATTCGGCCGTATGGGCAGGCTGTAGACGTTTGGCCGGGATGGAGGCGGGTATTTTGGTGATGGATGGAGGAGGCACTGATTGACCAGACACTGGAGATGATGCAATCGACATGGGAGGAAGTACCGGGCCTGAAGGCACTACTCTCGATGGAAATGCGGTCGTACTGGTTCCCGGGGGGCTTCTTTCCTCCTCATCTTGAGGTTTTAGAAGCAGTGAGATATCCACTTTGGCGGGAGGCAGCAAAGCTGGGTTTTGTAGGGCAATCATATGCGCGACTCGCAAAGACGTGCAGTTTGAAAGAATAGTAGATAGTAGAAGATAATAGCATCCAACAATGGACAAGCAAACAAGAGAAAGAGGCAGGTAGCACGGTGAAGCAAGCACACGAAAGGACAGGAAATAGAAAGAGAAGAGGAATCAGAATAAAGACAGAACAAAATGAGAGAGCTTCGAGCGTCGTAGTGGGCTTTCTCTGGTGATGACGGGTGACGGCGTTGGTGATAGCCAAGTGAATCGCCCACAGGCCGGAGGAAAGTCTCGAACGAGCAAAGGACGAACAAGGATCAATGAGAGTGAAACAATCCGGTAGGGGCCCCTGTTTGGTTCTTTGCCTCAAAGCCCAACGGTTTGATAATAGCCCAGCGCGGAAGGATCCGGCGAGTAATCCGGCAACGTGGGAAGAGCTAGGAAAAATCCAAGGAAAAGAAACATCGAGGATCGTAAGTAATATGAGAAAATGATAGGTGGTAGACACTAAAAAATAACAAAGAAGATATGTAGTTTGGATGGATCGAGACCAAACAATCAGATGACAGGGAAGATGAAATATAGAACAAAAAAGACCCACGGTCTTGCAGGGTTGGAGAAAGCAAGAGGGGGAACAAAATGGACTAGGGAGGGCAAAAAAAGTAAAGAAACGAACAGGTCAATTTGAGTCAGACAAGAAGAGAAAATAATAGAGAAAATGATTGCCAGTAAGACCGGAAGTGGAAGTTTAGGAAAATAAAAAAGAAAAGAAAAGAAAAAGACAACCGGCTAATAGATGTACGAATCGGAAAATAGAGATGAATAGGAGGTAATGAAGAAACGAAATGAAAGAAAAGAGGAGAGAGATGAAACAACCTGAGATGCATCGGATGGAAAAGAGATCATCGGCTTGACAGCTGATCCATTCAGCAAATAAGAAACCGGGTTTTACGGGTAGAATAACAGACATGAATAATTAGAGACGATGATGATGAGGATCTACTGACTTGAATATCCTGTGTTTATTTGTTCATCCTTAAGAGTCCACTGTGTATATGGTAGTGTAATATTGTGTTATGACTTGGACCGAGTCGGGACTCTCTACGACGAGAACGATAGTGAGTTTTAGAGGACTATATGAAATGGCCTCTGTTACTGGCGGTCAGTTGCTGTAAGAATTTCCATAATAATACTGGTATGATAAGGTCATTTCTGTACAGAGTACTTTGTTAGTAAGTAGCAATTAGCATACTCGGACTTTGCTCGCAGATGTTTATTATTATCATTGGCTTTTGCTTTATTTTATTTTTTCTGCCTCCTTCCTATTCCATCTTCTCGATTTATTACTGTGAAAAAAAGAAAAAAAGAACATGGTTCCTCCCGGTGGACCAAACCCGCCACACAACGGCCGATAGTTCAAACGGGTAGGATGCATCCCGGCGCACGGCGTCAGAGTCTAAGCCGGGTGGGCAGCTCTAAAGCACGCTAAATGTCCGGCCGAAAGACGTTAGATTATTATGACTTTGACCCCTTCCCTGTTATTGAATTCTCCGTCTTAACGGCTTTTCCTTCTTCTTCTCTCCCCCCCCCCGGTTCCCACTTCTTATTTCAACCGGAACCCAGGGTACTCTGTACCGCGCTGCGTAGGTACTAGATCATCACAATGGATCTGTCACTAAAAAAAAAAAAAAAAAAAAAAAAAA